GCTACTTGTCCCAACTTTTTTGGGATTTGTTGACACTGTGAAATTTTGAATCAACATATTTTTCCTTTAAAATGTTACATTTACTCAGATTAAACTTTTGATCTGTCATCTATGTTATATTACGAATAAAATATTGACATTTGCCATCTCCACATCATTGCATTCAGTTTTTATTCACAATTTGTTTAGTGTCCCAACTTTTTTGGAATCCTGTTTGTAAATACTATACGAGGAAACCATGCAGTTGAGAAATTTTAGTTAAAAATTGACAATATCAGTTTGGATAATTCTATATTTTCCTCAAGTCTCTGTTTTCTCTCAGTCATCAAGACACAACACTAATAATATTTCAATATAGTGCGCTACCTTACGTCTACACTTAGTTCTACTGGGTCAAATGTAAATGCCAATTTACCTTTACCATTAAGGCTGTTAAATTTGTTGTTTGAAACTTTCCATTTTCTTATGAATTAACCACCTTCTCCTGAATTTGCTCTCGCAGATTCATTATAAGAAGGGTCACGATGAGCGAAAGGCCAAGTACACGTCCTTGCCCGATCCTCCTGAAGTGGAGCTGGCTAAGAGAGTCGCCGATCAGCGCAGTGATGTAAGTGGATCTTTGTGCCAAACGGACGATTTGAGTGTTTAAGGTTGGACTTTTGCTTCCATAATCATTTCATTGAAGAGGAATCAGCTTTAAATTCATATAAGTGCATGTGCCTGACTGTTCCTGATACATGATTTGGGATTGAGACCAATTTAGAACACAAGACACTTATATCTCTTTAATTACATGAGGTTTATGTGAGGAATGCACTCGTGCACATCAAACAAAATGCTAAAAAGTACATTCTGAATGCCTAAAATTAAACCTTGGACTGTGCAGTTATGGAGACAAGGTATTTAAACATCAACCAACCCTGAGCTGCTGCCTGGAATAACTGTCCACCTGTTCTCTGACACAAGTGTCCCAAAGATATTCTAACAATAGGTTTGAACAGGGGTTCGTGTGATTCCAGCTGTTTTTATTAAACATATCAAGATGTAACTATGGCGTTACATATTTAGCCTGTGTTCAAGAAAAGATATCTACTAAAATTGATTTTTTTGTTTGTTCTTCACAGCTTAAATACAAGGAAGATTACAATAAAAACGTGAAGGGTCAGTGGTGTGAGACACCCTACTTCGACATAGCCATTGCCAGGATGGCTATGGATAACCTCAGCGATGTAAGACTTCACTACTTCCTGCCTTTTTAAGTAGTTTTTGTTTTATTACTGACTTTTTTGCTTTTCGTTTCCAGAGAAAATACACTCAACATTTTGAAGATACGAAAGACCAAATTTATTTCATGCAAACGGAAACGCCTGTTTACAGCACGTGCAAGAAGGCTCGCATTGCTGCCAGTGAGGTAAGCACGCAGACACCGGGGGGTGAATTTGTTTTAAAGGTTGTCTCTCGTGTGGAAGACACGTCAGGGAGTGGAGCCGACACAGGGAAAAGATTTCATCTTTACAGAGTGCAGGAACAATGTGTGAACCTGCAGAGGAGACTTCTCGGTTTCCGTACACCTCACCGCCTCCCACACACTCACACACAACACAAATCACTGCTGGAATGTGTAGATTAAGATTATAAATCTGACTTTTACATTTGCCAACCACCTGAAACTGTTCTGTTTCTGTGTTCTCTCCCGCTGGTCTGTTGTGTGTTCAGGTCCAATACAAGAAGGAGTATGAAAAGACGAAAGCGCAGTGTGACTACAACACGCTCCCCGCCACAGAGAATCCACTCCTGAGACAGCTCAGATATGCTGGCACCATCCTCAGTGATGTGCGTGTCTAAATATTACTCCTGCACATCAATGTTCTCTAATGCTTCATTAATATGACGATTGTTTGTTCTTAAGTCGACTGTTTGGACCAAACACACCAAGCATCTTAACAGCTTTCTGCCTTTAATGTTCTGGAGTCCAGCATCTGCTGCGGCCGTCTCTACCTTAGTTATTTTTGTAGTGAGGCTCTCGGTCTGTTGTGACCAGAGACTTTCGTCTCAGCTTGGGTGCAGGAACGATGCAAGAAGTCCCACCACTGCCACCGTTTGTTGTGGCAGAACATATTAACCCTTGTATTGTCTTTAGGGGAAATATCTGTCACGGGTTTATTTTTGTTTGTCTATATATTATCTTTTACCCGCTTCTTCTGTTTCTGGTCGTGGGGGTCACTACGAGAGGTGGGGGACACCCTGGACTGGTCTCCAGTCCATCACAAAAACACATAGAGACAAACAACCATTCACTCTCTCTCTCTCACCTAGGGACAATTTAGAGTTACCAATCAGCCTAACATGCATGTTTTTGGTCTGTGGGAGGGAACTGGAGTACCCAGAGAAAACCCACACAGCACGGAGAGAACATGCAAACTCCACCTAGAAAGGCCTCGGCCGGGATTTGAACCGGCAACCTTCTCGCTGAGAGGTGGAATCTCTACCAGCTGCGCCACCGTGCCATTCTATATTTGTTCGTGTTTTTCTTTAATTTTAGTTTTTGTGTGTATATTTTTCTGACAAAGCCTAAAAATCCTAATTATGCAAGAGGATTAGGGTCATGGTGCAATATTTTTTTTTTCCTTAATTCTGAGATTAAAGAAAGAATTACATAGATTAATTCTGACTTTAATCTCAGAATTCTGACTTTTTCCCTCAGAATTAAGGATTTAATTTAATTTAATTTTTTTTGCACCGTGACTCTAATCTTCTTCCGTAAATGGGGGACTAAGCCAACTTTTTTTTAACCAAAAAAATAGCTATAAAATAAATTTATCATTTAAAAAATTTCTGAAATATGTTTTTTTTTTTTTAACTAAAGGCCCTCAAAGAGTTAAAATAAAAACAAAAAAATATTTAAAATTAATATTTTTATTTCAGGCTGAGACAGCTCTAAAATATTGACTAGTTTGTCGTGGGAAAAATATTGAGAAACAGTATTTAAAAATAATAAGGTGGTTGAGTTTCCCCCTGAGAAACGCAGCTAAAGTTAAAGGACAATACGAGGGTTAAAACAGATCAAAGGACCAAGACTGTTGATTTTTCTTCATTTATTATAAAATAAACCTTGAGCAGAAGATCTCAGGGATCAGACAACATCATATGTTCTCCTTCACATAGTAAGAGAACGCTTTTCAACAAGTTCACAGAATTATCGGAGGCACGAGGATCAGAGCTGTCAGGATGTTCTGCTGCACGTAGTGAAGACGAGGCATTACATCTTATCGTCCTATCTCCAAGCGCTGGGTTGTAAATTGCTAAAACAGATTTCAGTTGTTGTTGTCCAACATCTTTCTTTCTTAACCGGTGATTCTTTGATCCACCTAATGAACTTGTTAGATTGTTTATCTTGTTTTTTACGAGTTACCTATCTAAATTTGTGATATTTTTTCCTCCGATCATGTTTTCCAATATATTTGTCTTCTGCAGAAAGTATACAAGGCCAGCTACGAGAAGTCCAGAGGTTTCAGCATCAACTACTGCGATACTCCGAAGTTTCAGATGGACTCAGTACTTAAAAAGTTCTCTGACGTAAGAATCATTAAATTCAAATATCACCTTTCATTAAACACGTTTTGAATTTTTCGTTTATATACATGTATTTTTGTAACATTTGCAGATCCGTTACAAAGAGAAGTATGACAACGAGGTGAAGGGCCACTACGTTGGCAGCTATGAAGACCTCTACATGCTGCACTGCCAGAAAGTTGAGGAAATGAAGAACGAGGTATAAACAGTTTATGTACATTTTCACACCATCCATCCATCCATCATCTTCCACTTGATCTGAAGTCAGGTCTCGGGGGCAGCATCTTGAGCTGGGAGGTCCAGACATCTCTTTCCACAGCCACCTCATCCAGCTCTTCTGGGAGGACTCCAAGGAGATCCCAGGCCAACTGAGAGACATAGTCTCTCCAGTGTGCCCTGGGTCTTCCCCGAGGTCTCCTCCCAGTCGAACATGCCTGAAGAACCTCCCTAGGAAGGCGCCCAGGGAGCATCCTTACAAGATGAACCACCTCAACTGTCTCCTCTGGATGTGGAGGAGCAGGTTCTACTCCGAGTCTCTCCTGATAACTGAACTTCTCACCCTGTCTCTAAGGGAGAGTCCAGCTACCCTGCAGAGAAAACTCATTTCAACCTCCTGGATCCACGATCTCATTCTTTCAGTCACTACCCAGAGTTCATGACCACAGGTGAGGGGAGGAACGTAGACTGACCGGTAAACAGAGAGCTTTGCCTTACAGCTCAGCTCCCTCTTCACCACAACAGACCAGAACAGAGTCCACAGTACTACAGACGCTGCACCAATCCGTCTGTTAATCTCACGCTCCATTCTTCCCTCACTCGTGAACAAAACCCAGAGATACTTGAACTCCTCCACTTGAGGCAGAACTTCACCCTCGACCTGAAGAGAGCAATCCACCCTCTTCTGACTGAGGACCATGGCCTCAGATGTGGAGGTGCGGATTCTCATCCCAGCCGCTTCACTCGACTGCAAACCGCTCCAGTGAGAGCTGAAGATCACAACATGATGACTCCAATAGAGCCGTATCATCTGCAAAGAGCAGAGAAGGACTCCTGAGGCCACCGAACCGATATACCTCCGCCCCCCGGCTGCACCGAGAAATTCTGTCCATAAAAGTTATGAACAGAATCGGTGACAACGGGCAGCCCTGGTGGAGTCCAACTCCCGCCCTGAAGGGGTCCCACTTACTACCGGCACTGCAAACCAAACTCTCGCACCGCTTGTATAGGGACAGAACATTTTCACTCCTGTTTTCAAAATCAGTTTGTTAAAGGAAAATTTTAAATTCACCTAAAATTATATTTCTCACAAATTATGTATGTTTTTTTTTTCTCAGCAATTATATAAGGCGGACTACGAAGATATAAAAACCAGATGCTTCTTTCCTCAAACGGTTACACCTGAATACGAAGCCCTGAAGAAGCTTCAGAAGTGTAACGATGTGAGTCTTTAACGCCACTGTACTGCTTCAGTACTATGAAATTTACTCTTATTAAGCATTTTTTTCTTGAATACTTGTATGTGTGACACACTTTTTATTTTATTTTATGGTTTTCAGAAAGTTTACCGGCAAAATCCAGACACAGTGAAGTTCACGCAAGTTGACGATTCGCCAGTCCTTGTTCAAGCCAGCATCAACGCCAAACAGCTAAGTGACGTATGTGTCTGGTAAAATGGCATAAACTCCCATTAGATTCACATAAAATGACCCACAAACACATTTTTCTTAACATATGATATTATTTTCAATAGGTTTGTTGAAACTGTAAACATTTTGCTTTAATTTATTGAATGAGATTTCTAAAAACGAACGTCTTCGATCGAATTCTCTCAGTAATGCTGATCTGTGTTGGCTGTGCCCAATCATCCATACAGCCCAGATGTCTTTCTGTGGGCTCCATGGAAACTGGAGAGCCGTTTTGCCGTAGTAAAAATAGAAACAAGTATTCAGTTAGCCCAGAATCTGTCATCAGAGAAGGGTTTGGGAGGCAAGAGAAGATCAGTCACTCTCCAGCTGAGACGCTACTGCCCTCCAATGACATGAAATACAAACAGCACTTTACTGAAGCTGGCTAGAATATTGTTTTTTTTTATAACTTTCATTCAACCTTTTTTTATACAGGTTAATACCATTGAGCCTCTGAGACAAGAGAGACCTGATTTTCACAAAGAGCGATGACAGCAGTGGACAACAACAATAGACGATCATAAAGGATGCGTACAAATTGAGAATAACAAGTGAAAATAAAATGGTATTAAAAAATGTAACAAAAAACAGCTAGATTATAAGGCGGTGTAGAAAACCAGAAACAAGAACGTCTGCATTGGTTCTTGTCAGGAACTTAACAGATGTTTGAAGCCACTTAGAGAGGTCCAGGTCGAGAGCTTTAGATCTTTTTGTAAGATATTCCAGGAAACAGGAGCGGAGTAGGAGAAGGTTTTGTCTAGTTCAGTCCTCATTGAGGGAACACTGCAGGTAATAATGTCCTGAGAGCGCACGCTGTAGCTGCACTCATGTAGAGACATGTAGGAGGAGATGTATGAAGGCAGCAGACCAAGAAGTGATTTAAAGATGAAAATGTACCAGTGAGAGAGTCCGTGTGAAGTTAATGGTGATCAGTTAACCAGTGAATACTGGGTGCAGTGGTGGGTACGATAATCACAGCCAGTTATGAATCTTAGTGCACTATGATAGACAGCATCCAACATCTGCAGCATCCAACATCTGCAGGGTTCTTGTAGGAGCGTTCATGTAAATAATGTCACCGTAATCAATGGAGGGACCGAAGGTCACAGAAACAAGGCGTTTTCTAGCATTCAGGGTTAGACAGGATCTGTTTCTGAAAAAGAAACCCAGTTTAACTTTCAGTTTCTTTACTAGGTTTTCCACATGAAGCTTAAAATAGAGGTGTGAGTCGACCAAGATGCCCAAGTATTTGTAGGAATCGATAAACTCAATAGGGACACCATTCAAGAATAAAATCAAAGGAAGAACTGCTTGGACCAACTTTCTGTTTGAAAACAGCACCCCTTTGGTTTTGTCAGCGTTTAGGACAAGTTTTGAGATGGAACAAATCTGACTGGATGATGTTGAAAGTGGATTGCAAAAGCTGGGAAACCTTAGCAACTGTTGTAGCTAGACAATAAACAAATGTGTCATCAGCATAGAAATGTAAGGATGCATCAGGGATGATCTGACTTACATTTCCTATGTAGATTGTAAAGAGGGTGGGTCCTAAGACTGAGCCTTGTGGTCCACCATTGTTGACTGTTAAGTAAGTGGAGGAAGTACCATTATGTAACTCATATCTTTGTCTTTTTTTCTAGTTAAACTACAAGGCAAAGCACGAGCAGACAAAGTTCAAGTACAGTCTCCCCCCAGACTATCCCTTCTTCATCCAGTCCAGAGTCAACGCTTTTAACCTGAGTGATGTGAGTCACTGCTGATTCCTGTCAGTCTCTGATGTTTCACTGATAATAGTTTAAAATTTTAATTTTTGGGGTTAAATATTCTCCTTGCAGAATTGCTACAAGTACGATTGGGAGAAAACCAAAGCAAAGAAGTTTGAGATCAAGGGCGATACCATTTCGATCCTCGCTGCTCGTGCTCACACAAACATTGCCAGCGATGTAAGTTTGCTCCCGTATCATCCTCTGGTTCCTTTTGTTCACTAATTGAGTCTAAATAATTTGCCATCTAGGTCAAGTATAAAAAGGAATTTGAGAAGAACAAGGGGCAGATGGTTGGAGCCCTCAGCATCAACGACGATCCAAAGATCCTGCACTCCGTTCATGTGGCTAAAATCCAGAGTGATGTATGACTTTAAACTTAGCTGGTTTCCTTCCTTATTGATTGCTGAAGCTAAAAAGAGAATAAATTTAACAAACTTACTGTGAAATGTCAACAGCGGGAATACAAGAAGAACTACGAAAAAATAAAGACCAAGTATCATACACCGCTTGACATGATATCGGTCACCTCGGCCAAGAAATCCCAGGCTATTGCCAGCATGCGCGGCTACAGGAGCATCAGCACCAACTACTTCCTCCCTCATGACAGCGTGCAGCTGGACCAGGCCAAGAAAGCCAACATCATCCAGAGTGATGTACGGATTAACAGCTTTACAAGATTTTACTGCAGACAAACGAGTACTTTGTAAATCATGTTTTATGGTCTTTTTCATTTACTTGTGTGTATTCACATATTTTCTTCTTCACAGAATGACTACAAGTCTGAGTACAACAACTATGTTAAGGGAATGCCGTGGATTCCGTACGGCTCCATGGACGTGGAGAAGGCAAAGAAAGCTGCTGAGATCCTCAACGAGGTACGTCAGCGACTGGATCGCTTTACGCTTCAAGCTCAAGAGATCATATTTAGGAGGTAGTGAAGTGTTTTACATAATAGGTTTGTGTTCTTGTTGCTTTCAGAAAAAGTACAGACAGCATCCAGACACCATCCCATTTACATCTATCGATGACCATCCCATAATGCTGCAGGCCAAAGTCAACCAGCTTCAGAGGAGCGATGTGAGCTCACTGTCATCGCCACACTCATCTTTTTGGCATCTTTTCTAAGATTCTTATTAAAGCGATTGTTTTTGTTCTTGCTTTGATCTAAACTAATATATGATTTTATCTCACGGCATTCTCCTACATTCTCTCGTAGTTGTTCTACAAGAGAGGACTCGAGGAGATCCATCAAAAATACTCTCTGCCTCCTGACGTCCCAGAGTTCCTGCAGGCCAAATGCAATGCTTACAACATCAGCCAGGTGACGCACACAGACACAAATAACTTTTTAAAATATAAAACCCAAATTTTATAGCCCTTTTTCAATTCGTATGGTTAAAATTAAACCACTTTGCATCTGACGGTGACGTTAGAGACCTCAAACAGTGTAAGTTTGAGTCAAGGTTAGGACACTGACATCATCTAGTTATAAAAGTGTTTCTGTAAAAATAAAGCTGTTTATATTGTTGTTATGTTTGTAATTTCAGAACTACTACAAGTACGCCTGGCAGGAGCTGATTGCTAAAGGCTATGACCTGAAGCCTGATGCTATCCCTGTAGTAGCTGCCAAAGCAGCCAGACATGCTGTCAGTAATGTAAGTCCTCTGAACGAGTGAAAACGTATTCTCCTTATCAACATGAAGTGTATTTTAAATGTACTGTTCTTCAGGGGCGATTCTACAATCTGACCTTTAGGGGTGCTCAGCCTCCAGTGCTGACAATGGCTCTTTCCTTGTACAACACGATGGCCATTGGCGTCAGAAGCATTTGTAATGTGGTGGGGACACACTGGGGGGGTCTGGTGGTCCTCCCCCCAGACATTTTTGAATCAAGTAGATGCCATTTCCTGTATTCTGGCGTATTTGAACAGGTTGTTAAACATCTATGTTTGCCTACATATAGTATGTAAACACTTGATTCAAGAACTATTTTAGAAAGAATGGCACAAGAAGTAGCCTGACCAACAGCTCTCCTTGTGTGAATAGAGCGCACTGCGCTTCTCTCACATATCCTATCACCCCCATCACCACGAAATCTCTGACCGCAAAGAGTTCATACATTAAAAAAAAAAAAACACAACAATGTTGTTGGAGGAAAAAGAGATACAGTTTCTGCAGGTAAGGGGCGTTTACCTTTGGGACAAACTGAGGTCGCAGATTGGTCAGTTGCTGATGAGCCTACTGGATTGATTGACAGGTGGCGTCGAGGAGCCAACTCGTGCAAAATAAATCATAGATTTTACTGGCCCATTTAAGAGCATAATCATTTATTCCACATTTATCCCAAATTTATTCAATATTTTGATGAATCTAAGGTTTGAGAACTGAGTTTCCTTACAAAATCCTAATGATGGTTTCTTAATGGTGATGGTAAAATTTAGGGGTGATTGAGCACCCTCAAAAAGAGGCTAAAATCACCACTGCTGTTCTTGTTGCTGCATCACACAACTAATGAGTTGTCAGTTTCATCGTATTATTTTCCTGGAATTGATTTCTCTTCTAGGTCCAGTACAAAAAAGCTTATGAGAAGGCAAGAGGCCACCATGTTGGTTTCCGCAGCCTTCAGGACGATCCCCTCCTGGTCCACTACATGCAGGTGGCTAAGATACAGAGCGACAAGCTCTA